TCTTTTTCATCGTCGAAAATATTCTCCGCTCATGACGTTGGGGCACGTCTACCGTGCCCCGCGTCTCCCCGCAGATCCTTGCGGGGAGACCACATAAAAAGTATTTGAAGTTGCGATAACACGTGCAAAAAGCCCTCAACGGCTCACAGCGAACTTTTGTAACGCCCGTTTGCCCATTTCGGCTTCCGAGGGTGCTGCGCGAGCTCGTAGGTGCCCTGGAAGCCGCCCAGACGCCGCCAAGAGGATCCGTCATTTTGCGGGGCAGCTAGATATATAGCTAGAAGACTGTTTATGACATCGGCGAACAGCAATTGGATTGTTGTATATCGCTCAAGATGGACCCAAACGGCGTCTCCAGCCCTCGGAGGCGTAGCAGCGGCAGCGCAGACCTGCTGCCGGACGACGCCTCCCGGAGAACAAGCTCGGTAGGCACGGTTGCGCCGGATGGAGCAGTCTCGCCCTCCTTCGAAATAAGTTTCATGGAACTCCAGAGGCAGCTTCAGCGGAGGAGCGCCCGATCGGAGAGCGAAAACTTGGATTATATTAGAGTGCTGCAGTCGTGCCTGTCGGGCTCCACCGGACCCCACCTGAGTCCCTGCTCGCGGTCCACGGCCAGCAGCGACGAGGAGGTGTCGCATCTCGACCTGGGAAAACAGCACAGACGCAGGACTGGGTCGTGCTCGAATAATGTATACCAGTGTCAGAGACAAGGAGAGCACTCCCCGACGAGCCACAGGTGCTGCCGCCTCGAAGGGATCGGATCGACGAGTTGTCGGAGTCCGCGCCAGAGCTCCCACGGCGCCAGCCACGCGTCACATGGCCTGGGCACCAATTTAGAGAGCACTTCCCAGGGTGACGGAACACACAATCACGATGGGAACGCGTATCGTCACGACACTCTGGGGACCCCTTCCCGCATGTCCACGTGCAACACGAATGTCATATTTCTCGACGATGAGCGCGGCAACGCGAGGCTGGAGGTGTCGCTACGCAAGTTGCGTGCGGGGCTAAAGGGGCAGCAGAGGCTGCTGCGGCTTCATCGCGTCGGAAGCCACCTGGAGCTCGAGTATTCCGAGGCGGTGGAGGATTTGGAGCTCAGTTTCACGACGACGGAGCCAATCGCAGCGAGCAGCGGCGTTCGGGAGCACCGGATGGCCGCTGAAACAACCACGCGCTCCCACTGGCAGGAAACCCGCACGGCGGCGTCTTCGAGCGGATGCGCAGACCCAAAGGGGCAGAGCAGCCACCGGGCGTTGCTGGCTGTGGCCGGCGTGGTCTTCGCGGCGGTTTTGGGGACCCTGTACTTCCGAAATCGCACGTCGTTAGCTGTTTGAAACGGGCAGAACACAGCGCCACAGAAACCAGCCGACAGCACGGCGGCTTACGTCTGCCGGAACTAAATTTTAAATCATTACGCTACAAAATCTATAGGGTGCTTGTAGTGACATCAACGTCAGTTTTGACGTTGGATACTCGGTTGGGGCCACACAGGGACGCTGCACACAGTTTGATGCAAAACCGAACCGGCCCTCCAACGCTTGAACACGACACCTCGGCAGCCGCTGCTGTGGAGGGCCCAAATAGGCACGCTTCGGCAGTGGTATCCCGCATGTTTTCGTATAATTGCTGATACGCTGACGCCGTGTTGCCCATCTGCAGTTACGGCTGGTAATGTAGTTTCGGGGTCTGTCGTTTGGCTTGGAGGGGAACAGGTATTTTCAAAATACTCTACAGTCGCTTTTTCGTGCTCATGTCCGACGCACGTTGATACGCTTGAACATCTGAGACGCACTCATCCCTAAGCGGTGGAATTACGTAATAGCAACGCACAGCAGCGCGAGTGCTCAGATCACTGCTGTGTCACATAGGAATCAAACGACTCCGAGTGCGCTGCGGGCATGCCTGCACGGAATGATTGGCGCGACAGTACTTGGACTCACCCCGTGTCGGATCGTGCGATACGATGTCGACTCCGTTGGGGAAAGAACCCGGCGCGGCGTACACAGGTTCGTTGGCCGTAATAGCCACACGCATGGGAACATCTAGCAGCATGTAAGCTTTGCGACAATTGAGGGTGACTTACCGCCCATGTGCTGTTCGACCACGGGTTGCTGCACGGTCGCCGGCAGCGAGCTCGCCGGCAGCTCGTTCACCTGCATCGGCCTTACAGGTGGAGGCGGTCGGAAGTGCGGCGTGTCGGGTGTAGCCGATCGAACCGGGCTGACATAGCCGTTATCAGCGTTGTTCGGGTCCATGCGGCGCATCCAGGCTTCCATGCGCTGCGAAGCGTACCTGGCTATCTTCGCCCGCATGCGTTCGCCGTCGCGGTTGGTGGCGAAAAAGGTGTTGAGGTGCTCATTCCAGTCGTGCCCCCCGCTGCGCACGCTCCACAGGTGCGGCTTCGACGGCTCCGAAAGGAAAAAGTGGCGCGACAAACGCAGACTGCGTTTGAAGTTCCGCTGTAGAATCAGCAGTCGCAGCTGCCGCTCAAGCCGCAGAAGGGCGGACAAAAACTTGTTCGTCCGCAGCATGCCGTTGTTGCGGAAGCGCGCCGCGTGCTTTTCCATGCCCAACTTGTTTATGAGCGCCTCTACGCTGTCCATGCCTTCCGACGACCCCTTCGACATAACGAACTCCAGCATCGAACGCAGGTTGTTCACCGCGTTCAGGGTGTACGCCAGCCGGTTCTCCGACACGGCCTCCGCATACTCTATCCATCCCAGGCTCGGGCTCCAGCGGTCCCCGTCGCGGTGCAGGGCCTCTGCGTAGTGCATGATTTCCGCATAGTTGGAGGCAGTGTTTTTGTCGGAGTCGTCCGTCGCAGCGGACGTGTCGACTCCGCACCGCCGCAGGAGGTCATCCGGCGCTTCCAGACCAACGGACAGGTACTGCGACGCCACGCTGATCTGGTCCAGGGTGCGCTCGAACTGCGCGCTGCTGACGGGGTTGCGCGTCGAACCTTTCATGCCATAGTACTCCGTGTCGAGGGGGCCGCGCTTCTCCCGCGCTTGTGCGAGCGCGGCCAGCAGCTGCTTGAATCGCACATCGGTCGACTCGACGCCCTGCGCGCTCAGGTTGTACAGTCCGTGTACGATATCGGAGTACTCCGTGTCGCCCATGTTTACTCGACGTTCCCGCGACAAAAAGCCCTAAAGGGCCGCAAATACCCAACTAAAACATTAATGTGTGTCCACACACAATTAAACGGGTACAGATATAGCAGCCCGGAGTGAAAAGCGGTCACCCGCAACGTACACACCTCCCGGCAGCGCCGGCTGGGCACAAGCAGTAAACAGACTGACCATGACAATTGATGGCACTTACAGTTATCTACATTTCAGGCATTACTGGCATGTCATAGACCGTGACATTCGCGGCGGTTCCTCCGAACTTCTTCTCGAGCTGGGAGGCGTCCATGTTCTCCAGCATCTTCTTGGTGTTCTTGCCCGAACTTATCTGGATTTTCTCCTGAGTTACTTCGGGAAGCACGTTCTTCAGGATGCCCCAAAGGCCGGAGATGATGTACGGGGCGTTGATGACGAACATCTGGGAGAGGCGGCCGCGGTAGTTCACAGTCAGCGCGCGCGCAATTTGCTTCATCAGTGTGACTTGCATGCCGAGGAGATTCGTGCCGTTCATGTCGAGAATCACCCTCCACTGCTCGATGCGGCCGGGAATCATGAGCCGGTGAATAGCAACTTCCAGAGTGAAGAAAACGCATCGAAGGACAGCGTCGTGCTGGTTGTTGCTCACTTTGCGGAGCTGGAGCACAACGACTGGTCGCATACAACGGTCCCTACCATGGATGTAAACTATACCCTTGGCCTACGAAATGTTGACGACGCGGTTATCAAACTGACCATGACATCCTCAATCTCAGAGCGCGAAACGGGCAGAGTGGTTTTGCGCCATTGCAAATGCTCCTTCATGTCGTCTATAGTGGCGGGGTACTTGAAGTTGTTGCCGATTAGACAACGCAACAAGTAGCCGTCGTCGGCGAAGATGGTGCTGCCGAAGCGGGCCTTGAATCTCTCGATGGCTTCATCAGTTTCCAACTGCGGGCCCTCGAGCTTCTGAATAGCGAAAACCTTGAACGCGCGAAGGTGCTCGACCTCAAAATTCGTGAAGTTTACGTTGGAATATATGAACCGAATCTGATGGCCACCCTTTGTCACCTGAAACGCGTATGAGCCGCCGGCAGGAAAGACTAACCGTATGCAGTTCGCTATTCTTTGGTGTATACTGCTTGACGTAGTCCGGAATGACGATGCTGTCCAAAAGAGGGTCGTCGTACCCGAGGGCATTGCATGAATCGGAATCAGAATTTACGGCAGTCATTATACAAATGCTCTCGCTACGTCACACACCACCCCTGAAAAATATACTACCTCCAAACATACCACTGATTGGAACGGTATTAAAATGAGCAGTAGCACACGCCGGTCATAGGGTCTGCAGTTATGCATAGACGGGCTCTGTGCCGGAAGGTCACCTAAATGGGGACGTCAACCTTTTCACGCCTTTAATGCTCGTACGGGCCCGCACATCTTGTATTTAAAATTTTTTTCGTTTATAAATGTTGCTCTAGGTTTGTTCCGGACCGTACGTCGGACTCGTATAGGCCTCGTCGGTACACAATGCCCCTCAATGCAATGATTACTGACGTTACATAATTAAACAACACGCAAGTGGCTTTTGTCGCAAAAATATCACATACAGTAGCATACTGCGGCAGCGCGGCCACGCAACTCGTCGTTCGAGTTCAATGCACAGCCGACCCAGCAGTGTCGCGTCAAAGCGCCGGATCACATGCACACAGTCACCTATTGTGTTACAGAAATTAACATATTAAAACAACACTTCCAATTTAGTTGTACGTGACCAAACGTCACCACCGCACAGACAGCTGAGAACGGCCCTCACGTGTTTTCTGGTAACGTCTTTTGCCTTTGTGGAGTCCTTCAAAACATCATCTATCATATTTTTCCTACCTTCCCAGAGGTCTCGTAGTGTAGCGGTTATCACCGTGGACTCTGACTCCACTAACCCAGGTTCGAATCCTGGCGGGACCTTTTTTAACGCACTTTGGCTTACGGATATGCGTGTTAAAACAAATGTTTTAAGAGTTGTTTTTTGATAAAATGTCCGCATCAGGTTCTTTCTCTGGTTCCGCTTTCGGCGGCGAGGGGAACGCCACACCTGCGGCACTGTGCTTAGGGCAATATGACGGGTGTACCTTCAAGATAGGACGCGACCTTTCCTGCGCAACTTATATGAAACAGCACACCGTTACTATTACCTTTAACGCGTTGTATAACTTCCCTGGGGGAAGCGACACTCGTCGACGTGGCCTCCTCGGGCTCCGATAGCATGGCAAACTCAAGTTCCAACTCGTTCTCGTCTACATCCTCAGGCAGCTGCGAGACGTGCTAAACAACCGCGAAATCGGCGTACCGCATATGTTCGACCTATGATCTCGTTGATCTCATTCGTGTACTCTGTTAAGTCTTCCATCTGCTCTTGCAATCCCTGAACGATGAATCAGTGCGTACGGGATCGCCGTCAAGCCCACCTCCAACTCAGTCAAATTCAAGCGCCGTAGCTGCTTTCGAGCACCCTTGACGGACGCAGAGAGAGCGTTGCGCTGACGATAACGTGATATTTCATGCGTATGGTGCACGCACCATTTCCACAGCAGTCTGAACCTGGGCAGCGACGTGCTCAGACTGGTCTACAGCCATTTGCACGCCTATTAGCTGTTCCCGTTGCCCCTCATAAACTTTACGGCGCTGTAGCACCTGCATAGCCTTTCGCTTCGCTGCCGCCGCTCCGGCTCCATTAGTGTTGGCCAATGCAGACTTTATGCTAGCCAAATCGGCATTGCATCTGTTGATCTTCTCGTCGATGGCAGATATTTTGGCGTCCACCCCCTCTGCGGATACTTTTAAGTGCTTCGAGAGGCCAGCACTTACGAGAAGTCTCTTGTAGGGAAGACCCTTTGTTAGAGCTCCGGAAGAACCTAGAGTATGATAAGTGGAAAGTGGAGTCGATGGCTGCATGAGAAAATAGCTTACCTCATTATTAGAAGTCAGCTGAAGCGAAAGAAAAGTTGTTGTTATCATACAGCTCAACAAGGGAGTTTGAAAAATAAAAATACAAGCCTAAGCTATAATTCAAGAAAAGACCGTGCAATCAGCTACAGGTAGCCGAAATAAGCAATATGTGTCGAAATTGCGAGTAAAAGTGCGCGTATCACAGGTAGCCGTCGGGATACCGCCAGCGCTTCATCAACTGCCGGTAACTGTGCCCGATGAGTGTGAAACGCCGCGCAAACGTACTTAAAAACACGCGTGGGAAGACCGTTCTGGATTCGGCAGGAATTTTCCGCCATCTGTACCCAACTCAACAGGGCACGGCGACTCTCAACTCTGCGGCAGATCGGTCCGAACGACAAGACAACAACATACCGCGGCGGATAATCCGACAAGAAGCGCTGAAAACATTGCTTGCCGTTATTGCACATGTCCGTTAGCGTCCTGTAGAAGACATCGATGTTGCGACGTTGCGTGTCGCTGGGAACGTCATCCACGTAGGCACCGTACATCCATATCTGTACACATCAGCACACACGCGAAAATAAACGCACCAACATCCACTGGGCACTGCACGGATCGATCGCCTCGTTCCTGTCCACGGCCGCCAGCGACTCCGCGAAGGTGTAGCTGCGCCTCTCAGACCGGGCGGCTGTGGAATCTGAACTCATAGAAAAGCGCTTATTGGTGCAGTTGTAAATGTACAGTCCAGAGGAAGGATCACTGGTCTCACTGGCACACGCTCTATGGCGCTTCCCCATGGCAACCTTCCGTTCCACCAACATCAGCCTTGACCGCAAATCGCGACGAAATAACGCACATAAGGCACAACATGTTGTATACTAAGAAGCTGCTCTATGCACTGCAGCAGTTGAAGCCGCAGGGAGGGCGTTCGGTGCCCCTTTCAGACAACACACTCAAGGAGGTTATTCTGAAAGCCATCGGTAGGGAAGCGCCTGGTATACGCATCTGAAGCACGCCTGCAGGCAAACCGACCTCCAGCGATGAGATGCGGTATTTCAAGCGCAACAACAAGGCTAAGCAGGTGGCTCCGTGCTTCGCTGGTGAAATCAGACCGAGACTCAAGCTGATGACGTGCGCCGTAGACCACTCTGAGCTTCCGCCAGCGACTTTACCCGAGGTGAGGTGACCGAAAACGGGTTTCTGTGTGGTATAGGCGCTTACATATGGCAAATCTGCGTGTAACTCCTGTGTTTGTTTATAAAGTGGTGCAGGTTGCTTTCTACGGACGCACAAACTCCGGAAAATCATGCCTTGTCAACTCCATCTGTGGGAGATATGGTGTATGCACCGTTAAAGACCTTCCTGGTACCACGAGGAAGTTGCACTTTTACAAAGTAAGGTCAGGCAGGGGTGTTGGTCATGCATGCTCAGGTCGGATCGCCTCCGAGCATCATACTTGTGGATATGCCCGGATACGGGTACTCATCTGCTAAAGAGGACCTCACCGTTCAGTGGAATGAGTTCTCGCTGTCGTATCTGAAACACAGAGAGTCGCTGAAGCTCGTGGTCATCCTTGTCGACAGGTGGGTGTCCTAAATCGCGTGGCGCAGCTCAGTGACTGCAGTCGCGTCGGCCTTAAGCAGTCTGATCTCGAGGTCATCAATTTTTGCGATAAGCACCGGATCCGATGGCAAGTGGTGTTGGCCAAGGCTGACACTATGAAGCCCGTTCTGCTGGCTAAAATGATTCACAAGGTAGGAAAACGGGTGCAATCATCTGCCCAAATCCGCTAGGTGCGGCTCGAGACCAGTGCGTTTAGGGCTTCCAATGGGAAGGTTATAGCAGTTAGCGCGACCAAAAACCAAAATTTGGACGAACTTAGAGCAGTCGTGGACGCGTTCAAGGTGGACAAGCACATGGCTGTGGGTTTTTGTTTTTTATGAGCATATTCCGGCAGCACTTATACGCAAGAAGTCGAGATAAGTTGAAGTCTGATGGCGTTCGAAAGCCATATGGTATCGCTTCGAATGAAATACCCACCATACAACGGGGTATAACGCACAATGGCACCGGGCGACTAGAGCTCGATACACAGACCGACAGTGCTCCATTGGAACAGTTAGTCCTGCGATTGTGCATTGACATTTTTTAGGTACGATCTATGGCAATACATCAAAGAGACGCGTAACGCGTATGGGCCAGATCAGGTCGTCTTGAAGTGCGTGGCGGGGATTTTCGCGAAAATGAAGCCGCCCCCCGGGCTGATCGTCGATTTCACACCAAAAGCTGAATCCACGTTGACGGTTGATACGAGCGTGCCTATTTTGAAGAGTGACCTTACACCGACATATGTTGAGGTGGACGGCAATTTCATTTGCGATTTGCACGTAAAGCTCGAGGACACACTGACACTCAACGAAGAACCCGAGGTCAAACAAGAAAACCTTATCCAGGACAAAATCGCGAGCTATCAAAGGCGCCTATCGCTTGGCATGGAACCGGTGCCAAGGATCGGACGACCAAATATCGGACGGAGCTACAAGCGCGTGCTGTCCATTTACAGAAAGGCGTTGGCGCCAAAGAAACTGCAATGGAATGCGGCGGACCGAGAAAAGCTGACCTGGTCTGCGACCTACCAGAAGTGGGAGAGATGGAGCAAGAAGCACCCGCAGCTCGCTCGGTACGCAGTATCGCTACATTATTCTTACATGTGCACAGAGAGGCATCACCGCCAACCAAACGACTTGTAGTAGCCGAGGGAAGGTTCGTGGTACCCATGTATCACCGATAAGCCAAATGCAGGAAATCGCACATACGCAAGCATCAGCTCCTAGTCCATTACAAGCGTGAAAGGATGCGACAACAAGTATCGAAGATTAGCAAACGGTTGCATGTGTAAGATATAGTGATGTATGGCAGTTATCTTCTTGCAACTCTACTAGACGTGGCAATCGCTTGTCTAGTTCCATAGTCCTGTAGGCCTAGTATGTGAGCAAGCTCCAACTTAGAATGAGGCCGATTGAGCATATGAAGAGCGATATCACGCCCGTAACCGCAGCGGAGACCTTGATGGAATCCAGATAGTACGTGGAAGTCGCATCCGACGTGAAGGCAATCGGACGAATAACCATGTAATTCACGAGGTAGCCGGCAAGGAGAAACAAACAGACTAAGGCGATGCGGCTACTCGCCGTAGTAGAAAGTGACATTTTATACTTCAGTAGAATGTGTGATTGCGTTGTCACCCAATTGTAGCCGTTCAGCTATCAATTTCCATGACACACACTCCGCAAGCCAGCCGCGTATATTCGTTTCATTGGCTTTGTGTGAAAGAATGTCACTTCGGAACGAAATAATAGGGCATTATCGGACGGTTTTATCTTACATTAACGAGCGGAACTCGCCCGAAACCAGTAGGTCTCATGAAATGATTGGCGCATATGTGCAGACCGTGTACTCCTTAGGGAGATAATAGAAGCAAATCCTAAACTAATCAAGAACGCGTTAGATGTTGTGTACAGCAGTCGTATTGCCAAGACAACCCTGGCTTCCACGTCTCAATGCTTTTACTCCATTCCCGCCAAGGGTGGAACCGGTCAATACCTGGTGATGCGGGGTTATTGTGACTGTATGTGAAATTCCGTACTATCCTTGTCGAAACTATAATGCTATATCAGGTCCGTATTTTGCTGAGCATGTGTTGTCTCGAGCGACAGCTTTTACAGTAAGCACAACCGCCGATGATACACCCTTCCGCAGTGCAAACACGAGTTGGCGTGTATATTGCTTGAATATATGGCGGAAGATATAGATAGAGGCGACGACGCCTTACTGGATTGCGTCGAAGACTTGGAGGAAGACGAGTTTTTAGAACGCGTGCATTTGGTGTACGATGAATAATGCGAACTTATGCATCGCTTAGCTCACGTAGAGTTAAAAGTCATTGATAAAATCACAATACTTTGGTATGAGACATATAGCAAATTGTTGACGAGGACGTAACATAATCGTCCTGAC